CCGAGATTCCTGTCTGCCAGGTTCATGGTTGTAACAAGGACCTGAGCTCCTCAAAAGACTATCATAAAAGACACAAAGTATGCAATGAACACTCAAAAACTGCTATAGTCATAGTTAATGGGATTGAACAAAGGTTTTGTCAGCAGTGTAGCAGGTATGGTCTAGCTCATCGGTGCTCCTTTTGTCATGTAATAAAATTCTTAGATTGCACTGAATGTGTGTGTCTGTGTTTTTGTATTAAACAAATGTAGAAATATCATTGACGTGTTGCATTTGATCTAGGAAAATGAGCTGCTGTATTGAAATCATTTGCTTGACTAGTCTAACAAAACTAAACCAAATGGCGAATCATGTGGATGTAATGTTGAAAAGAAGATAAATTTTTTTTAGCATACGAGCTCTAAAAGAATTTATTTTGACATGAATGTGGAAGCTACTATTAGCTCCTGCTAGTTTCCTCTTAACATATTTAAGGTATGCCTTGCTGTTTCTGTTAACTTCAGTTTGGACGATCCATCAAAACTTTTAGAACATTAAGTAGATATAGAAGTTACAATCTTTCCTTTGTAGAGTAACTTAATCATGACCTGTTAATTGACCATCCTCCGGAATTCATTCTTATGCAATCATCTTTAAAGTAGAGAACTGTTCACGGTGTTAACAAAAAGCGACCAGCGTAGCACTCAGTCACTGTGCTGGTGAGAGGTAGCGGGTACATAGTGGAATAGTTGTGGTGCATATAAGGTGGCTTGGACATCACAGATATTGTAAGAAGAAAAGAAAAGAAAAGAAGTAACCAGATGTTTACTGATTTTTATGCATTTGGTCTGAATGTCGTAATTTAGTACTAACAATTTGGCATGAATGTCTTGGCTGCTAGTCCTGCATAGAATTGTAGTAACCTTTTAAAATGCAGGTTTCACTTGCTAGCAGAATTTGATGAAGGTAAACGCAGCTGTCGCAAACGCCTTGCAGGCCATAATGAGCGGCGGAGAAAGCCTCAATTCGATACTCACTGGGGTAAACCTTTTCTTCCTCCGCTAATTATCCTGCATTTGCTGATTATGTTAAAGAGAGTTCTATGCTTGATTTGTCTTCTAGTGAGTTTCATCCTCCGTACTCCAAGTTTCGTCCTTTTTCCTCTCAATTAGAAAATGTACCACTGTTATTTTCCCAACTCTATTTTCATGTGAGGGCTTGAAAGAACTTTCTACGCTTAATCCAATTTGCTTATATTGAGTGTGTTCTGAAGTTCGTTGGTGCTAATGATCCTACTCCCTCCATTTTAATTTGTTTATCTTACTTCCCTCTCTAGTCCATTTCAAAAAGAATGCTTTCTTTCCTTTTTTTTTTGGTAACTTTTTAATTTTAACTACAAGATTTAAAAGTCTTGTTTATTTTCTTAAACTTTGTGCTAATTGCCAAGTCAAAACCAGACAAATAAATTGGAACAGAGGGAGTATTTACCTAATCATATCCAGTTAAATATAGTTTCTATGTCGAGTTTTTCAGTTTCTCATTTGTTAAGCATATTGGTAACTGATTATAATCATTCTGTTAGCTCGTGGCACTTGAATGTTTGTTCTGCTTTGTGGATAAATTCTTAGCAGCTTTACCGACTACGAATTTATGCAAATGCAGGTTCGAGATTTTTGGATATGACTTCACAAAGGAGAGTACCATTTCTTTTCCCAGAAATATTTCCTGGTAGCTTCTTTTATCAAGAAAATTATGAAGATAATAACAACAGCAAGCACCCTAAATTAGAACATAAGCCATTTGGCATCTCTCAATTGGCTATATCTGTAAAAAATGAGCAATTCCCTGCGAAAAGCATCCAGCATCAGTACGGAATGAGAAAACAAGATCCGTCCAAAGTTCACACTGGTGGGACAACATTGTCTATTCAAGAATTTTCCAAAGGGCAAAACTCCTCTTGTGCTCTCTCTCTTCTGTCAGCCCACTCACAAAACCTTCTACACAATTCAACAGACGTTTCACCAACTCTACGTTGGACGGTTGAACCAAATCATCATGTATACGTTAAAGGGCGTGATCATAATCTTGAGAAATCTCCCAGAGTTAGTGTTGTAAAAAGCTTGACACCGACTGAGTTATATTCATCTGACGTAGCTGAGCAAGATGTGGTCGTTCAAGTTCCTGATTGTGAGGCTGTTTCATTTGGAATCCAGAGAGATCACGGACATGATCAAAGATCAAACTCTATAAATTCCAAGAACTGTCTTTCTCTGGAAGGTGGGCCTACCATGGATTTAGTGCAATTGTCTTCGCACCTACAAAGGGTCGAGCAGCAGAAAAACTCCGTCCAAGTGAAGCAGGAAAATGATATCTTTTGTTCCTTTACTTCCACCTGAGGCTTATAAGAGCTACAAGGTCTGTAAACATGTTCATTTGATATATAATGCTTCTTTTCGTTTCTATCAGGAACTCAAAATGTCAATACATGTAAATCCACTCTTGTAGTTCATGTCGTATGTTAAATCAAGAACAAATTTTTCTGTGTTCTATAGATAAATACATTTCCTCATGTATATACACCTGATATCTGACTAGATAAAGTTAACACATTTGAATAATGTGACATGTCACTTATACATGTTTTGGCGATAAATCGAGATAGTATTGTTTACTACTACCTGCAGCTTTTCATGTCTAGTAATTAGTGAAGATTAAGGATCATTATGAGCCTTGGTGAGTGTGTCTATTTGCGCCATGATTTCTTTTGTCGAAGCATGTAAATTACAGTGTTCTGATCCTCTATAGTGATGTACAAGGCTACTAATGTGACATTGCAGTATTCATATCTTTCACCCCCCAGCCCCCCAGCCCACCCCACTTCCCCCCTCTTGAAAAGAGAGAAAACCAAAAAGCAAAAAAGCAAAAGCTTTTAGGAATAGGAACTCCTTGTCTGCAATATATATATATATCAGATAAGTTGTTGTTATTCGTGTGTGACCTTTTCTTGGTTTTTTCATCCTCATTGCAGTCTGAAGGGTCAACATCCGCAATGAAGAATCGGAAGATAATATGAGGAGATTAAACTAATTCACAAGTGACCTTTCCAACAAGTCAAAAGGCAAAGGCAGATTAAATAAATGATTGATATCGGTACATCTTTTGTAAGTGTCAGCCATAGCTTTTCTATTGCTTTCCTTACATCAATTGATTTGTTTCAATATCCATTTCGTCGAAACAGTACTCTTATTATTTTAATAGTTAGTGTTGTCTATAAGGAATCTTGCATCATATACTGATGTTTAAGAAGAAAATAAAGTATCAGAAGGATAACATTTCTTGTGCATTATTTTATGTATATCATCTCTTTTATGTTAGACGGGACTGTACAACCTCTTAAGTTTATGAAAACAACGGTAATTTCCTTTGTCGTGACTCGTGATATCTATAAATCTTCAATTTTCCGTCAGCAATTCTTTTGATACATCTATAACTGGTAAAGTTGTTGCCACGAGCTGTGAAAAAGCCTCTAGCAGAAATGTAGGGTAAGACTGCATATAATCTGAACGTTGCATATTGTTGGCATTTTTGTGATGCAAATTCCATTTCCTTATTGTGAAAAGCATAGAATCTTACTATTTGTAGCAAAAATATCATTATGTATATATTTTTGATGGCTTTAGTCTACTTTCCAATTCAACACTTTTGGTGGCATACATTTTGTGACTTCTGCTGCAGAAAAGTTATGCTCCATGCATGTGTTTACACGTGTACATACACGCGAAAAAGAATAAAAGATAGAACCTTTCGATCAAGCAGCTATATTGGCATGTCTTTTCGAGTTGTAGGCGTGCAGAATTGTATATGGAATCCATCATGAAGTACAGTTTTTTTGTGATTTTTTAAGGTGAATTTGACTTGGTTGGTTAGTTTTTCAATTCATTATAGTGTTATTTTATGCATTAGATTAGTGTTTTTGTTGTTGTGGTCCTTGATAGAGAATGAATGAAGTAAAAGAAGAAGAAGTGGTCCCTTATTTATTGGAATTGCAACATTCTATTTGTTTGGAAAAATTTGACATGTTGTTTCCATCATGTAGTATCATTCTAGTAAGTTGTGAAAAAAATTGTTCAATATATGCAAGTGTGGATTTTGGGTGGGGGGTGGGGGGGGGGGTTTTAAGTTTGTGATTTATTGAATATTCTTTTTGAATAAACTATGATGATATTGGAGCATTGAGATGTTGTATGGTGGTGTCCTTTGTCACGCGCATCATGTCATGTCATGTCATGTCAGCATAAAGTGTGTTTTGAGTCGTATGTTAGGATTGGAACAAGTTCAAGTTTAGAGGGTCGTTGATGTATTTGACGTTTTAATGCTTACTATATGTCGCGTTATTTGCTTTATATATCTGTTCTTTCATTGTCGTCATTTTCTCTTCCTATGTTGTTTTGATTATGTTTTTTTTTACTTGAGGATCTATCAGAAATAACTTCTCTAAATCTACCCTATAAAGGTACGGGTAAAGGCGTGTGTTTATCCGATCCTTTTCAAATTTCATTTGTGGAGGTATACTAAATATGTTGTTGATTATCGATGATGTTATTTAACCTTCTTTTTTTTTTGCGGAAGCATTTTCTAATATGATTCTCTCTATTCCAAGTATAAAAAACGTATCATGATTCAAGTAATTCATCAAAAGAACAAGATCTAACCATAAATTTGATTTTTTTAAAAAAATTGACATAATATTTGGAGATTATATTTCAAATAATTGTTTGTTTCATAATTTGTTAGCCAACATGTATAAATGCAAACTATACACACTATCCTATATAATAATAGGAGTAATAAAATAATACCACTAGAATTTTGTTATTTTAATTCACAATTATCATTTTTACTACACCTAAAAGGTAAAAAGATAATGTACAACAATGAATCAATATAAGTTGTTGTATTTTACTCAATAAACTATAAATAAATAAACTTGAGGACTTAAATATGTTAAATAAGCACTAGATATAATAATAATAATAATAATATTATATAACATAGGATAAACTTTTTTAAAAATAGCAAATTAGGTAAGACCCAAACACAAACTATAGGACAAGTCCAACAAACTTAACTATGTCATTATTACATACTTATAATATAGTCCCAATATTTGCTTCAATTCAACATCTAAACCTACAAAAAAAAAAATCATTAGACGTATATATGTATGTATATTACAAGAAAAATAAAACTTATTATTAATTTTGTTATAATAATGAGAAGAAAAATAATTCTTACATTGTTGGTATTTCCAGAATTTGGTGGATTAGGAAGGTACCTAGCCCACTAAAATAACCAAAAAGAAATTGTTACAAATAAAATCAATTTAACATGTTATAACAGATTACTTATCTTAGTATCGATCTTTTATATACTTAATTTCGCGTATTATGAACAGTTACATATCATCACCGAACAATTTCATCATTATTTAATCCTCATGTTATAATTCCAATATAACTTTGTTCACAAATCAAACAACTAACGACTAAAAGAATTTAATATTATTTTCACAATTAAGATTAGTGAAATTAACTAAACTCACATTTTTAGCAGCTGCACTGAAAGCTTCTCTATGTGGTATCTCTGGATTTTCAGATTTGATACGTTGTATCTCTTCCCTTTTATCAAAATAAAATAAGAAATAATCAAATAATATATAAACTACTTCATCTGTTTCGATTTATATATAGTTATTAGACAAAAACAAATGAATTATTTAAAAATTTATTAAACATGCCATAATATCTTTAAAAACTTCTCATATAATGAACGGTTTAATCTACGTAGCTACTTTTCAAACGCAGTATCATATAAAATGAAACGAAGAGAGTAAGATATATTTACTTCATGAATCGATTGTAGGCAGATGGAAGCCTGTGTTTCTTCTCAGGAGCTTCAAATAAAATAAAATTAAATACCATTATCTTCAATAATAATAATTTTAAGCAGGAAAATAAAATAAAATTATTGAGGTTTTATTTTTTTTTTAGAAAAAAATAAATAATACATACGTTTTACAACAAAAGGTGCCTTTGGAGATAAAGGTTCACTAGAAGTTGATGAGGTAGATGATGAAGCTTGCCCCTTATTTTTTAATTCACTACAATAGCCCTGTTAATTAAAACCAAAAAAAAATTATTATTAATTATGTCATATCTTTTTGAAATACAGCTAAAAATTTTATAATTTTAATTTATGTTTTGTGTAACGAACTGTCTGTCTGTTATTACCTGAATATTGGGTTGATGATCAAAGCATTGACCTTGAATTGGAGGTCTAGTAGTTAAAAATGAAAGATTGCTACAATGGCCACATTTCACTGTCACAGTATCCATTAGCCTCTTGTATGGAATTCCAACCTAAAAAAATATATATTTATTTCAAAATGATATTAATTATCTTGAAATTATAATCGAGATAAATGATTTCACCTTCTACGTACAACAACAATATATACGTACGCAGAACTAATTTCTATGTTTTACGAATCGAGAAATTATTTTCAAATGAGATGTGACGATAAAATAGCTAATGAAGTGCACGTGTTGAATTAGTAGCATGTGATTTGACAAAATTGAATAATTTTAATTTCTTTATCCTTCCTATTTTTTACTCTATCAAGAAATTAAACTATGTAATAAAATCACACATCACATGAATGATTGAATGGGAACTTGTAAATAAAGAAATATAAATTGACAGAAACAGAAAGAAAACAAAAATAAATAAATATAGCAAAATTAATTATACTAATTTAAGCTTTAATTTTGTATGAAAAAAGTAAGAAAATAAAATAAATTTAATTACATTACCGCTAAAACAGTGTTACAAAAATTGCAACGGACGTAGCAAAGATGCTCAGAAGATTGAACATAATCCATGGAGTTTTTTTTTTCAGATGGAGAAAAGAAAAAAATGTTTTTTTGGGGGTTTTAAAGAACAAAATATATTTATTGGGTAGGGGGGTATTGTACAGAAATTTGATTGTGGTAACTCTTTTATGACTTATATGTGTTTATATAGTGTTGTATATATGACTATATGTTATATTTATACTTGAATATTTGGATAGTTATTCGAAATTACGATCATGAAATTATATTAGGTATGTTACTATTGTTACAGGCATATTCAAGATTATGGATTTTGAACCTTAATATGTATTTTTTGCTTATTGGGTGATAGAGTGGGTTAGAGTCTGATCACATTGGTTGGTGAATGGAGATATGATCGTTTTATATGGATTTGGACAATCTTCTCGTGAACTAGGTTTTGAGATTGAGTTAGATTCAAATATTATATCTTTTACTGTGGATTCCGATTAAATTATTTTTACATGTCAATTAATTTTCAAGCAAAAATATAGGGTTTGAGTCAAAGCATTGCATGAAATCAACGTGTGTTACAAAAAATAATTTTTAGCAGCAATAAATATGCACGTGAATAAAGCATGTCAAAGTCTTCTTCTATTACAAAGAGTGTTAATTTACTCTGAAAGAACATATTTAACATAAATTAAACTATTATTGTTAATTAATTGTCGCTAAGGATAATTTTTCATTACTTTAAACTTTAATGTTCTTTAAAAAATCATCCAAATTTTCTTATGTTGTCCATTAGGGATTTGAGGTTTTTTTACCAAAGGTTCATGGTAATATATGTTGTGTTATTCTACTGTCCAATTTCATTTCACTGTCCTTCAAATATGAATAAAAATGGTAAAAAAATCTTATATTAATAGTAATGACATAAATCAATGTTTAAATTCTTTTGACTTTTTGGACTCTACACTTAGGTCAAGTTAAAAAACACAATTTTCTTTCGATTGAAAGTCTATTAAAGATCGTTTTGTTATCTTATATAGTGATAAGGTTTGTGGATATATTTGAGTATGTTAGGTGATTAATATGATAGGCAAATTACATTTTCTTTTTATTATTTCAATACATAAAGAAATATATAGTAAGGTTGAAATATTATTATGAAATAAAATAGAAACATAAGAAGACAATAATCTAGATATGCAATAATTTCTTGAAGTACAACATTTGATTCTCTTGAACAGATCCTCGTCCTTTGCCTTTACTACTCTTATCAAATCAAAACATTATATTATCTAATCATATTAATTATATTATGTTTTTTTCTTTCAATATTTTAGGTATATATAATAAAATATAATTGAACGTGCAATCACAAGAAATTGGATATATATGATCATGGTGACGTAAATACAATAATCTTTCATCATGAGTAATTCTTTTCCTAACATAGCTTCTTCAGAGTAGAGTTACGATAAGTTTTAAATCTTAATATAAGCGAGATATATTTAATACGTTTAAATTATTGAAAAATTTGAATCTCTTGATTGAGTTTTTCATAGTCAATTCATTAAGGGTTGAAATGGTCGGAACCAATCAGAGGTGCATGCATTTTATGGCGCAACTAAATTTCTTTAGTAAAATTTTTGGCTCTATAATCATCGACCACATGTCTTTCGCTAAACAAAAATCATGCAAAAACTCATTGTAAATATATGCGTGAGAAGAAATGTAATTTTTTTGTATAAGACTCAATTAAACTACTGTGTATATTATTAGAAGTGTAATTTTTTGTATAAACTCAATTAAACTATTGTAAATATACACTCTATCACTAATCTACCAAACAAAACTTGAACAACAAAGGTACATAAATTTTTTATAGATAGATCATCCATACCCTACAAGGTTAGGACTTTGAGCAAATTAAAGGTGGAGCTAAGAGGTGCCTAAAGAGGTTTATTCGAATTCTCTTTATTAAAAATCACATATATAAATATATATATATATATATATAGTAAAAAAAAATAGCTTAAATATGTTAAATCATCTTAACTTTTTTCGTATGTTTATTTTTATAATTATAATTATATTTTCTTAGTACAAATTAAGGTCTCATTACAGCAACGTATACTAGTTGATATTTTTTTTTTGTTTTGTGTTTTCACATATTAGGGCCGACTATATTTGAGTTCGATCTAGAAAGTTTTACATTTGAGGGTAAACTATTCCTTAACAAATACTTATGACTTTGTATCCAATATTATGACTAAAATATGAAATTCTCGATTAAGAATATAGAAATACTTTCAACTCAATTACAGTCGTTGGTTATCACTGGTTTAAAATTAACCCAAAAGAAAGTATAGAGGAGACATAAATAAGAGGCGTGCATAAATAATATTGAATCAAATGAGACAAATTTATTAGCTAGGGTTATGGTGATGGCTTCCCATATAGCTAACTTTACTCTTTTTGTTTTTGTTGGTGCCAAGTAATTGAAGAAATTAAAGGTGAAAATGACCAGTGCTACAATCACAAGTCACTATCATAAAAAGAGTTTATGTCTTTATATGTTGATGGGACTATTCTTTCATTTCATTGTTTGCTAAACAAGGAAACTAACTATTTCTACCCTTTGATTTCTACAACTTTCTATGTTAGTATAAATGACTTGGTCATCATATATTATACACACAATGAAACAAAGATCAAGGATCTTTTTCTTTTTGGCATTTCATGCATGTAAAGCCCTATTCAATGTCATTATCTCACCATGAATTGTAATGAAATAGTTGAGTTAAATACCTTCATAATTAGTTGGAGGTTTCGTATTCGGATTCTAAGTATAATTTTTTTGTTCGAATCAGCATCTGAAGAAATAGGTCCATGCACGAAATTGAAATTAATCAAACTCCGTATGAATATTGATTGGGCTTAAATAAAAAAGATGTTCCCATTTCTTCCGCGATGTCACGACCCAGACTATTGTGATTGACACTCACACTATCCCTTCGAGGGAGAACCATTAATATTAGTTAGCTAACCGAGAACAACACAACTTAATCAAACTAAGACATTTAAAGTTACGAAAGCAAGTTTAAATGCTGAAGGAAAGATAAAGTTTCCATAAACTCCAAAAGTCTAACCAAATAACTGCAGAAATAATGCCTAAAATCTGAAAGTCAATGTACCAAAACTCTACTAAGGATCACAAGTCCAAGGGAATGAGTACAGCCCAATGAAACGTAAGAAAATCTAAAGTACTAGTCTAAGTCCGAAGATGTGGACATAAACAAAAAGAGAACTCATGACAGTCCGAAAAAATTGGCTCACCATTGAATTCGATAGCGATCACTGATCTTCTAAACGAGGTTTGTCAATAACCGTTGAAGATGCCTGTACTCAACAAAAAAAGAATAATGTTGTATCAGTATATAATCACAATGTATTGGTAAGATTACATAGCTATCCCACTAAGAGCAATATAAGCAAGTAACTAGACCATCATAAACATGCATACATTGAACATATACAATATCAATATCACTTAAGAACAACATAAAATTTCAAAATCTTAAGATATACAAATATGCCAAGTAATTGATCTTCTCACGAAACCCTAGTGTACCGATATGTGGTCCCAAATCCAAATTAGCGTGTTAGATTGTGACACTCATTCCGATGTTTATGCTGGTATGTGGCAATCGATCCCAATTAGTGTGTCAGAATGCAACACCCGATCTATTCAATAAGCCACAATCAATCACAAGTACATACTCATAATCATACAATCAGTCATGATTCATGACATTCAATTATTCAATTATCCCCATTCACAATTAGTGTGATCACTAATGCAACATTCACATACATGCATTATAATAAAGCAAGTACAAATATATATCGCACAACATGAAATCACAACTATTACCCACCTCGAACAAGTCTTGACCCCTAAGAAACTTGATTCTCTTCTTTTTGAACTCTTTCGATTTGTTCTTAGTCTGCAAACAATCAGTGTAATGCTAGGATCAATAAACAAGACTTAATTACCCGAAATATAATCAACACTATCAACCTTATATCAAACTGATGATCCCAATATCTAGAATTAGGGCTTTTCCCACCATCCAAACAGTTCCAAAACCCTTCCCCAACTTAATCACCCAAGAAATTAAGTTTTACGGATCGAACAATGGATTCGGGGAGTGAAGACCTTATCTTTAGCCTTAAGAATGACGAAAAACTATCAAGAAAACTCCTGGGGTCATTCCTTAGTTCTCAAAGTCGAAAAGTGCAGAATAAAACGTTTTTGGTGTTTATTTCCGACTTAAGTTGCGTCTGTCCCTGCTATAACGACCCCGCCCTCGTGGGAATAATTTTGCCACAGTGGGTTGGACGGAACCAGTGAGTCGGACGGAACCAGTGAGTCGATTTAAGAGTTTCAAACCCTCATTTCACAATGCACCTTCATCCTACGACACTCAGAAAAATACCTTTTCACTTTAAAATCCGTTTTGAGAGTCCTACTACCCGAATTTGATTATGTAAAGTCGTCAAGTTCCTTATCATCTTAGCTATCAACTCATATGATCAAATTCATAATTAGATCTCCTAATTTTTACCAAATTTCTTTAGACCTCATTGACTATGATTTTGTCCAAAACTGAACTAGATTGAAAAATTTCAAGATACTAGAAAAAAAATTTCTGATCCCAAATTTCTCCCCATTGAATTTTCTATAACAACGGAAATAAGTTGTTACACTCTTACATTGTCAAATTATGCCAAGCCAACCAATGCTTTAACTGTCTATGTTGTTAGTGTTAAAGAGGCACTATAATACTCAATGCGCTCCAAAATAGTTGTCACATTGTTTCTTGAAAGTCAATTTGATTAATTCCTATTAGAGATAAAATATTTATAACTTGAATTTAAATATTTGAAATTTTTTAAAAAATACTATAAGTTGTAATTTATTATCTTCAACAATATGGTTCAAAAAAATTTATCAAAATATTAATTAAAGTTCATATAGTTTGACGGTAGAAAAAAAAACAAAACATAACGAGTATATTTTAGACAATGAAAGTACTATTACTTCACCTAAAGATACTTATTACAAGTAATTATTCATAAAAAGGTGGAACTTTTTGCTACTCAAGTTACAATATATTGTTTATTTTGCGCTAACAAACCTCACAAA